ATCTCCACTGTGATATGTTCAGCTTTTCAGCCTCCTAAGAAGCCACAGCAACAATAACAACAGAGTCCTTGGTTTGAGAAAAAATACTACTTTTATTATTTTTATTTAGTATTTTTCCTTATTTCATTATATTACCTCCTTCATTCATCTAGACACAATGCTATATTCTATTTTGATCATTCATGATTAGAATTAATGACCTTACACTTTTTAATCATTGTTTTTGAATAAATTACTAACTTATTTGCTCTTCAGTTGCTTAGTTGTCTTTTAATTACATGGGAACTTGGCATTCGTTGCAGCACTGTTAAAGTGGATTCTGACTGGATTTTCCTAAAGATTATGAATTAGTTACAGTGTTTCGTTACTTCAGCTCATGGTTGGTCTTATGAAAAGTTTATTTTATTGGAAATACTCTGTTCAATAAACTGTCATAACCTTGATCCAATATGATAAATGTGCTAGCAGTAAAATCTGTTTACTGATGCAAATACTGTATAAAGATATTACCACTTAAAATTTTATATTGGTTATGCTTATATTTTTTTTTAAAATTGTATGTCTTTTTCTGGAGCAATGTTTCTCAAACTATACACTGCATGTTCCAAGGGATATAATGAAAGGTTCAAAGAGTTAAAAAAAAATAATAATAATTTGAGATAGTCTATATTGAATGTTATTTGCATTCATTGTTTAGAGAGAAATAGCAAAAATAATACTCTGACTAAGGGGGGGGCACCCTCTCAGTTCCTTCAGGATTGGGGATGGAAGAAACACTAGTAGGTCATGGTAGCAAGAGGGAGGTAAGGACTGCAGGGCAGAGCTAACCAGGGACAGAGCAGCTCCTGAGAAGAAGGGAGTTAAGTGTCTATGTGCTATCAGGCATTCCTTGTAGGGACTTATTTCCCTGTGTTAGAGAAACTGAGCTACTGTAAGTAAAGAGGGTTGGTTGTCTGTTCCTCGACGGACTGCCACTGTGGGGAAGGGTCCCTAAAGACTAATGATCCTGAAGGAGGATGGTGCATCCAAGACGTTTGAGAAATAGTACTCCAAAATCTATTGTTTTCTGTCATTGTGGGTTGATATTGGTGCAGGGTCTGTTGTGGGACGTTTTTGAGGATATTCCAGTTTTCATATGTAATTTCTAAACTTTCTCTGTCAGGCTGTTCCCATGGGTCACATATTTAATTCTTTGGACCTGAAAACTTTTGCGTTTTATTGCTGTTTCAGCAATCCCACTTGCTCTGGGCAGCCTTCCAGAAGGAACTGCAGCAGGAAGAAGCTCTAGCCATTAGAAGAGAATTAACTCAGTGATAACATTGATCTCCAAGGCATTCAATTCAGAAATACTTGACTGGATTTCCATGTGCTTTTCTGTCCAGTGTGCCTGCCTATAGTCCACTGAATGACTGCCATTGAATTGGAGAACTACATGAGCTGATTTACTTGCAGGTGCACATATTGACTCAAACTAAATGGTTGAGGTCTCTCTAAATTGCAAAGCAAAATGCCATGTAGATGCACCGTGCCTGGCAGGCTGTGTTCTGAAGGAAGGCTCTCTTTTCAACCAGGAAGGCCTGAAGACTTTTAATTCTTTATAAAATGAAAGCTGAACTCCTGCAGCACAAGGTTGTAGCTACAGCAGTGCTCTCAGTGTGTTGAGCTCCTACCAGGAGAGACCATTTGAATGCTTATACTATGTAGCAGTTCTTATGAGCTACTGGTGAAGTGGTGACAAACGTTTAGGCTTTTTTTTTTTAAACTGGTGACCTATTTTTAGGGTTTTTATAAAGTGGTGACCTATTTTTAAATTTGGATTTTTTTATTTTTTTTTTTTCCTAGTTATACAGCTTTTCTGTTTTTGTGGAAGTAAGATAGTGAGATTGACTTTGGCAATAGGATCAAAATATGGAAAAGATATGAGACATCCTAGTATGTTTTGAGACAATTCTCCAGGATTCTGCTTCCACTTTTACTAGATCATATTCCTGTTTCTATCCCCTTGAGCTCTGAGTGCACTGGGAAGGTGCACCCACATTGCCATCCTGTGAGATACCACAGGCTTTCAGATCCTCACCAGTTACACTGTGATTTTACCTCTGAAAGCGTCTGACATGGGAACAGTTTGAGGGAAACCATTTACCTTCAATTACCTGGATAACTTGTGTTTTTCTATGATAGACTGCGTACTATTTCTTCCAATTGTACTCAGTTTTAACCATCTTGCCAAGCCAAAAGATGAACAAAATATGCATTTGGCAAAGATGCACAAAACCCCAAATGATTTACAGCATCTTCCAGTAAACTGTCTGGAGGACAAACCAACCCATTGTTTCTCTAGGCTGTGTATTAGCAGGGACCAGTGAAGTGTGAAGTTACCCAACAGAATCATCAGGCTTCAGCAAAATTTATTTTTTTTTTTTTTCCAAACTTAAGCCTATATCACTAGTTATTTAAATACTTAAGCCCAGGTATTCCAGGCCATAACCCAAGGGAAATTCTTCACCTGTGTCCTCTAGCCCTCCAGCAGCCAGTCAGGAACACCAGAAGCTAATCAACCTGTTTTTAAGCCCAGATCACCATTATGCTTGGACATGATTTTCCCTGTATGATGTAAACCATAAACTTGTATTGACTACTACCGGTGTAGTCTCTAGGGCCCCCTTTCCTTTTATCTGCCTATTCATACAGGTAAAGCAAAGGGCTGTGGTCTTCCTCAAAGTGGAGAAGAGCAAATTTGTCTACCCAGCTTGTCTTCCTCTCAGTTCTCCTGCCAGTATGAGCCATGAACATCAACAGCTTGGGATTAACAAGTGTAAACAGGGTCTACGTCACAAAATTTTTTTGGCTTACAAGAAAAATTAATTTTACAAGCTACTCAGCAAGCCACAAAGTGTGTTTGTCATAGAAAATGCCAGGTATTAACCAGTATTTCCAGCAGAAAGGAACTAACCAGTATTGTATTAGTAAGTGATTCAAGAACATCAATGGCTGAAGTATCATAGATGAAAATTTAAAGGATAAGATTTTTGCTCCTCTGAAAGAGAGATTTTTAGTTAGGTTTTGTTGTTTGTTTAGTGGTTTCGGTTTTTTGTTTTGTTTGTTTTTTTCTTTTCCCCAGTTTTGTCACAACTTTATTTTTCTTTTTGCAGAATTCTGTCTTCCTGTTTTTGGTGGCTGTAAAGTCTTTTACCTGTCTGGTTGTATGTGTATGTCTTTCTCCCTCTATTCCTGTAAATACTGGCAGCCTTCCAATGGCCTGGCTACAAGAATATTCAATGTAACTCTAACAAGCCAGGAAAGAAGTCAGCGGTGTCACTGCTTACAGGAGATGGTTTTCTAACATTCAAGGAAAGAAAACTCATGTCAGTTTATAGATGTTGGACTGAAGTTGGACTTGCAAAGCTTTCACAAGAAAATTTTAAGCATATTATTATAGTTGAGTAAAATAACATCTAACACAGCTCTGTTCCTCAAACAATACAGTAACTGTCTAGAGAGTGAGGCTTCCTCAGTGGCAGGTATTCTTAGATACAGGTTGAAAAAAAGTAACATATTGGTAGGGGATTTGCTCTATAAGCATAAATTTGAATGGCTCATCACTAGCTTATGAAAGGCCAGCATTTTGAAAATGTTCCTGCTGTTGAACTTTTGGGATTTTCTGCAGTATAGGCATAATGCTACACTGTCAAGATTAATCTAGAAAATGAGAGCTGA